CTTTGATAGGTACGTTGAATCATACATCCCACATGAGATAAAGCCTCTACCAGTCTACTCATTTCCCTTCTTCGCCTTCATTCTACGTATGCAGTCTCTGAGCAACTATTAAGCACGTGAACCAGAATAGAAGAACCCGATTACTCAAGCGCAATAGCGATCCTTGATCGAAGCGCTCCGAAAAGCAGAGAGTCCAAGCATACCAATCCATCCGCCTGCTCTTTGCAAAAATAGACATGCCTCCATCGTCATCTATTTCAGGTAAATTCCTTCGAATCCCGCCTTCATCTGCAGTGTCCAAACCGATATTAAACGTGAGAATCGAAGAACTGAACAGCTCAAGCACAATGGTGAATCACGATCGAAGCGCTCCCTTCTAGCATCGAAAGTCGTGAGTCTGAACTGACTAATCCATTCTGCAAATATAGACATGCCTCCATCATCCTTATCTTCCACCAAATTCCTTCCCCCCGACTCCTTACCTCCGCCAGTCCGAAAATTATGCCCCCGAAACGTAGAAGTAGATCACTCCCCCAACAACTCTGTGTAAGTACAACCCCACCCAGACCATCATTCCTCACACTTACAACTGTGTACCAGACCTCGGATCCAATACCCCTGAATCCTCCCGACTCGTAACCTTCAAGGGAGCGTCGTCTAGATGAGGCAATTCTATACTAGAGAGTGGTGGCTCCGTGCCTCTAAAACTGTAAAGAGGAATCGTGGATGGAGAGCGCTATACATGTGGTGAGCCGACAAAGGTGAAAGACAATTGTCCACTCAAAAATCTCTTGGTGCCTACGCCACAAGTCGGGCACTCTCGTACAACCAGGGATGTGCAGAAGAGGAGGTTTCGTCGCCGCGCCACACGGACAGCTCGTCAGAGGGAATCTGCACAAACAACAGTCAAGCCACACACAACCAATACCACGGAAAGTAGGGGAAGGAGGATAATACCACTTGATCCTCCGGATCTGGCAGTCCTTCCATGCCAAAGGGCAACTCGACATCTTCCATGGCGCCGTGCGTAACTCCGAACACAGTCGAGACCGAGCAACAAATTATCAATCCCCTTTGCCAAGCGCACCCTCAGTATCGCGCTTAGTAGAATGAGGATTATGCCGTTCGTCATTAGTCCAATATATATAGTTAGACGGTGCGCGTCTTATGCCATCGGGTAGACCGCTTTCAATACCTCTTGAGAAGCTCAGCCAGATACAGTTTTCCGTCCGATGGCTAAAGTCGTTCGATTGAATCATCCAAGGCTCCTGTAACGGTGCGCTGATTCAGAAAGCGATTCACGTCGCTTCAGAATATGTCCCTTCGTCCCTACGTTTTTTACCTCCAAAGTCCCACTGAACCCTTAGTTCGCGCCGTACTCCCTTTTGAGGGCTTTCTCGAACCGTATTCAGACCACGATTTTGCGAGCACGTATGCTAGACCCGTCTCGACCGTCAAGAGAGCATGGTAGGCTCTGTATCCGGGTCATCTCCTATCGAACAGGAAACCGCTCGAGTGCCTTTAGTCGTAAGCCTAGTGCAGAACCTACTTGAGGGGAAAAGGCGCACAGTTGCTCAGGAAGATACGAAAAACAAGGGGAAGAGAAAAAAAGGGGGAAAAAGGAAAAAGAAAGGAAAAAAA